CGACACATAAACAAGACTTAACCAATGGCTTTAGGTATATTAAAGAGCTACTCATGCAACGACATAATTTTAAAATGCATAAAGATTATAAAACATTGAAAAACAACAATATCAATGTGCATAGTGTTAAAACCGATGCCTTCATTATTGATAGGAAAAATATTGACAAGGCCAAAACATTGATTAAGTTTTCAACCAAAAGGGGAGGATGGAGAGCTGAAGATAATAAACAAGTATCACCACCGAGTGATATATACAAAATTAAGGTTAATGAGTTATCAGAAATTCCGACTTACAATAATGTAAAAATTCGTGTTAAAGACGAATACGACACCAAAAGCATTTGTGAGCAAATTGTGTCGTGTCATCCGTGTGTGATTTTAGGTGATGTGCCGGGCACTGGCAAGAGTTATATATGTGAATATTTTAGAAAATTGAATTACAATGTGCTATTTGTAGTCCCCACCAACTTTTTAGGGCAACAGTGCGACTGTGAAAGCACGACTGCTAATAAATTCTTTTCAATCAGTATTGAAGAAGATGACAGACTACCTATTTATGACCATAGCCCTTATAATGTAATAGTGTTTGATGAAATCTATTTCAATGACTATAAAGTTTATTGTAGAATAGATAAATTCATACAAGAACATAAACATAATAAAATTATAGTAGCAACTGGCGACACTAACCAACTACCAACAATAAAACCATTATCAAATACTAAACCTTTTGAAGAATACGCTAACGAATGTATCAAGATTATTTTTAAATATGAAATTTATTTATATGAATGCAAAAGGCTTAACACTATAGAAGATAAAACTAAACTATCTAACATTAAACATGACTTATTATATACCAAAATCCAAGTTGAACAAATAATAGACAAATACTTTAAATGGGTAGATGATATTAAAATGTGTAGTCATAATATAGCATACGAAAATAAAACCTGTAAAATTGTTTCGAATCACATACGCAAATTATTAAATAAGAAAGATGAATTTGAAATAGGCGATGTTATGATATGTAAGGAATATTCGAAAATAAAATGCTTCGTGTTCAATGTTAATTTTAGATATACCATAGTCAAAATTGATGGTAACATATTTACTTTACAAAATGTTAAAACAATGGAAGAATTAACAATTGTGAAAGATAAGCTTCGTTCAAATTTTATTTACAGTTATTGCTTTACTGCTCATTCTGTTCAGGGCAGTTCAATAGATGATGAGATAGTGATTTATGACTGGAATAAAGGTTATGTATCTAGGCAATGGGTCTGGGTTGCATTAAGTCGAGCTAGGGACTTGAATAAAGTTAGTTTTTATAGATATTGATTTAAAGAAAAGATAACTTAAGATAAGTAAGGATATGAGCAGATATGAGAATGGCAAAATTTACAGGATAACAGATGTGGGATATAATACATGCTATATAGGTTCTACATGCGAAGAACTAAGCCAGAGAATGGCAAGGCATAGATACAAATACACGCAGTATCTTAAAGGCAAAAAATATAGAAATACTGTATTCAAAATATTCGATGATTTCGATGTTGAAAATTGTAAAATTGAATGGATAGAAGATTACCCTTGTAATAGCAAAAAGGAGCTGGAGGCAAGAGAAGGATATTATATAAAAAATAGTAAATGTGTAAATAAGAGAGTAGAAGGTAGAACTGATAAAGAATATAGAGACGATAATAAGGAGAGAGAGCAAGAAAGGCATAAGAAATATTATGAAGAAAACCAAGACAAAATTAAAGCCTACCGAGAAGCAAACAAAGAAAGGAGAGCTGAATATAGTAAAACATACCGAGAAGAAAATAAAGAACTAATAAGGATAAAAAAGAAAGAGCACAGAGAGAAGAATAAAGACAAAATTAAGGAAAGTCAAAAGCAAATCTATGAAGCAAATAAGGAAGAGCGACAAAATAAAAACCGAGAAAACTATGCCAAGAACAAAGATAAATACAAATTAACATACAAAAAATACTACGAACAAAATAAGGAACATATAACAGAACAAAGGAAAGTTAAATTTACCTGTGAATGTGGCAGAATAGTAAGAAAGGATGGCAAGACAGAACATGAAAAAACCAAGAAACACCAAGAATGGCTACAACAACAAGAGCAACCAGAACAAGAACCAGAAGAAAATTAAAATATCTTATTTAGTATAATGAGCAATAGTAAAGAAGATATTATTAATAATGTTTATTATGATAAGGGAGGCTTCGGGTCAAAGAACCGCACTTTACAAGAAGCAAGAAAAAAGGATAACACAATAACTATAAACGATATTAATGAGTTTTTTAGGAAGAATGTAGAACAGAAAGCCAAGCCAAGAGGACAGAATTCATTTGTAGCTCCTAACGCATATTATGAGTTTCAAATTGATTTTTCATTCATGATATCCCTAAACAAAAAATGAAAGTTGGCATGATGTGTATTGACATATTTTCTAAGTATATGGTTGTTGTCCCGCTTATGTCAAAACAGCCAGCGGACATTTTAGCAGGACTGATGGAATGTATTAAAAAAATGGGTGGAAAGCCCAAACTAATTTATATTGACGACGAAGGAGCTTATAATAATCAAAGTGTTATAGATTTCTTGAAGGATGGAAAAATAGAGTTGCACAGAACCAGAGGACACCCAGCATTCGCGGAGAGGGCGATAAGGACGTTTAAAGATAGCTTGTATAAGAGGGTTGAAAACGATGAGAAAAAAGGAAAGGCTATTCAATGGACAGACTACATACACGAGATTATATTAACTTATAACAATGGAATAAAGCACACTTCGCACGGCTTAACACCGTCAGAAGCAAGAAAGCCTAAACATCAATTAGAAGTGAGTTTAAATTTAGGTATGAAAGCCAAAAGAAATAGAGTTTATCCAGATTTAAATGTAGGAAATGAAGTTAAGATATTCAGGAAAAGGAGACCGAATGAAAAGGAGAGAGTAGGAAATTACACAAAGCAGACTTACACAATAGCAAAGATTGAAAAGAAGTTAGGACAGGAATATTATTATATTGAAAATTATGACAGGGCATTTTTGAGACATGAGTTATTAAAGGTATAAATTTATTTCTTGGAAAAAAGTATTTAAAGAAATAAAAACTATATATATTATAATAGAAATGATGGAAACCGAAATCAATAATTATATCAATAAGAAATGCTACGATTGTTGCCACTTCAAAAAGGAAAATATGGAATTATATAAATTGAATTTACCTAATGGAATAGTTAATAATATTATTGATTATTCAATGGATGAAGAAGATATATGCGAAAATTGTAAAACCTGGAGAGATAATCAAGAATTAATCAGATGTCATTTAAATCTGAAAAGAAGACATAATAGAAATGTTGAAGATGACATCTTGATATTTTTAACTGTGTATAAAATACCACCTTATGATTATGTTAGAGCATTTATGAAAATCAGTAAGAAAAAGTATGAAATGATTGACTACATATTATGGATGTTGGAGTATCAAAGAAAAGAAGGGTTTGATGTAAAAACAATCATTAAATCACATATTGAAAGTGAAAAGTTTAATGTTAAAAATACAGTGAGAGATATTAATATTATTTTTAAAATGATGTATGAAAGAGGTAAGATGTATCAATTAAATTATTATCCTGAACTTAAATTATAATCATAATATAATAATAACATGTAAAATATTATATGTTATAATTATATTTCAATATGTAATTGTATTTCTTGTAAAAAAGTATTTAAAGAAATAAACACTATATATATATTACAGTGGAAATGTTATTTAATTATTCAAAGTGCGAATGTTGTACAACTAAAAGGAATGATGTTAATATAACATTGTATAAGTTATTACCTGCTAATCTATGTAATAAAATAAGTGAATATGATGTATATTGTAATCAATGCTGTATAACAAGAGACCTTGAAAAGTTTTTTGTTGAAGAACATAAGGATAAGGGATATACAAAGTTTCAATTACAATTGACATTCTTTATGAAATATCAAAAACGATGTCCTGTATGTTTTTACCATAAAATTGCAAGAAAGTCATTTGAAAAAGAAATTGATGAGTTCTTCAATAATAAAGATTTGATTAAAAGGTTTGGAGGGACAAGCGCAATTAAACCATATAAAGCATTTGTTAAAAAATTTCGAGGCATGTTTGATGCGATTGATTGGCATTTATTAAGTAAAGATAAAATAAACGAGGTCTTGAATGAATTTAGAATAACTAAATATCATGTATGGTCTTACTACAACACTAAATATCAAGTATGGCTACTAGTTAATTTGTTTTTCTGGGAATATATTTATTCAATAATAGGAAAAGACAATATCAAATATATAGACATTGGCGATATTGATAAATATGTAGATTACATATTTGAAGACATTTTTCCTGACTATAAATGTAACCCATAATTATTAATCATACTATAATAATAACATTTATACCCTTATATGTTATAATTATAATGTAAGTATAGCGTTTTATATATTGAAGATAAAATCCTACAAGGCGGGCCACGCCCCAAACAAATATATGATAAAAGTGATGAAACAAAGGAGGAGAGTGATGTTGTTGCTGTTCTATTTTTTGTCCGAGAAATGGACAAATCGTTTTTAGACAGTTCGAATATTTTTTTGATGACAAATATTTTTTGCAATATATTTTGCAAAATTTCTTTTTTTGAAATGGATGAGGCGAGGAGATTGAGGAAATGACATTTTGGAGGGTAGTTGGTGAAATGAATGAGGCGAGGAGAAAGGAGAAAAGGATTGCAAAAAAAATGGAAAAATGATGATAAAAAAACGGATGAGATGGACAGAAAGGAATGTAGAAAAATGATGAAAACAAATAAGGGTAGAAGATGGAAGATGAAAAAAAATGTAGGGGGGGGTGTATGTATGAAGCAATTTATTTGCGGGGCGAGGCCCTCGACTACTGATTCTACCTCTAAATGCGGGCCGAGGCGCGGCTTCCTTGAAGCAGCGGGTGGCCTTAGTGCGCAACTTTCTAGGCGGGCTTCTCCGAAACGTCACACAGAGGATGAGTAGTCGCCCCTCCGATTTCTCTTTATAATATCCCCAGAAAGGGTGCCCTCCAAAAAACGATTCACCCAAGTTCCTTGGAAAAAAGCAGATTGGTCTAAAAACCCGTATGACCCACAAACGCCCACGCGCGCCTCGAATGCACACTTTTGCGCTTCCGAGTAGTTCTCCATTGCTCGGTGGGCGTCAGCACACAGCAAGTTTGCAGAGGCCTGGGGCCGCAAAAGCCAGTTCCGAAGCTGCGCTACAGTGTTGCAAGCGCATCATCCTCCTCATCACCATCTTCGTCTAGGCTAGGCTTGGTGATTGTTGTCTACACGCACGTCTCTGACCGCACAAACTGTCCTTGCCTGGTTTCGAGGGTGGCCTTCGTCGGAGAAGAGCTGCACCGCATTGCGGGCTACAGAGAGGGCCTCCTGGTAGTTGCTTCGCAGCATGTGCACCTGGCTAGACACCGAAGGCCCACCCCACAGGACTTAGAAGGGTTCCCAGTCTCTTAGAAGGATCTTGGAAAGGTAACAACAATTTGTGGGGGCGGTACTCTCAACCCGGCCCATTTCCACCTGATTCTCCCGCGGGTTCTTGCGCTTTCCGGGCTGCAAGCCAATCGGAGCATTGACTTGTCACGTCCTCGTTCCTATCTGACAAACAAGAAAGTGATGCCTACATGGCGTCGCCCACATTGCCAAAACAGGTTATCAAATAACTGCAAACACCAAGCATTCAAACATTCATTGAAGCGAACGTCTCCACGCACATTCCAGAGGCCGTGCACTTTTACCCCAGCCTGGGACATGGAGCACATGGAGGAGCCCAAGATCTCGGTGATGCCAGTCTGCGATGCCTCAGACTGCTTTTACTCTTTGGTGACATTAGAGGGAACCGAAAGCAAAACTACTATTTGGGCCCGCCTATTTTGACACGATCCTAAATGGAAAAAAATATTTGGCCGGCGAGATCATGGTTGTGTGTGTGCGGGTATGCGCTGAGCGAAGGAGGGCCGTCATACGTGGGTCTCTCATTTTTGAGGGCACCCTATTGTTGTTCTAACGAGCCGCATTCTCCTTGCACAGCTTCATGGCAGCCTTTGCCGACTTCTCTGCCTTGTCCAAGGCATCCCTCAGTTGCAATGATCACCAATGCACGCGCAAAACTTTCATCACGTTGCAATGCTTCCAGGGTAGTCTCCTCCTTTGCTGAATCCTTTCGTCATTTGATTTTGGGGCCCTTCCGTGAACACCATTTGCTGAGATATGTCCACCAACCATTTCTTAGGCGTTCCCTGTTATTCAAATCGCCATGTGAATTCTGTAGCAGTGTCACATGCCGAGAACCCTTTCGGCCAAACCGCCGCGCATGTCGTTTCAAGGGCTTGTCAGAGCCCACACGCGCGCCCTCGATCACCGCGAGCTGCACGGCTTCCTATCGAAACCCTTCAACACAAACAACAGAAGGGTGCCCTCAAAAAGCTACAGAACCAAGCAAATCCAGAAAATGAATTGGTGTTGACCCCGCACTAAAAATACGTCTTCCCAGCACGCTACTAGTCGAGTCGATGCTCCAGAACGATAGGGAAAAGTCCAAGGTTCTTCAAGGTCCCTTGCAGGGGACAAACAAGAACCACCTGCCCAAAACGGGAATACTCCACATCAGGTGGCAAAGGTTGTTTTTGTCAGTTGGCCACATTGGCAAAAAGTCATCCTGTTCTTACAACAGTCAGAAGTGTACTAAACGCATCTATAGAGGAGTCGGGAGTTGGGTGGGGTGCGATTTCTCTGATCAAAAGCTCCTGAGAGGGCGGTTTACAATTATCCAATTCCTGAAAAGTATCAACTTCGGGGTATCCACTGACCTTGAAAAACACCTCCCCTAACTAATAGCTGTCCGCGAGGTTGATCAATCTGGGGTAAGCTTTGAGAACTGGCAAGTGGGTCACAATCAGAACCCGGTACTTAAGCAGCCTCCCAAAACCATGTAAAGAGAACACGGATATCTGCACCTACCTCTGGCCCCAACCCTCAAACGGTTCCTTTCTTGATGGTGCCCTGTTGGGGTCGTTTTTCTTTTCTGACGGCTGTGCTTCGCGCAATCCATCGATCCATGCGCTCCTGCGCCACCAAGAACAGCATGGATGCCTCCTCTGTGGGGCTCTCTTCCCCGCGCAGCAAGGCGCGCGAGCGCTCGCCCGCCCTGGCGAGCCAGTGCGATGCAAGAGACAAAGCACGGGAATGGCATTAGACCCGTTGCAATTTGCCGTTTTGTTTGTTGAGGGGGTGGCCTTGGACTTGCAAAAATGGAAACTCCACCTTTCTTTTCCTCAATCCAGAGGGTCTTGTTTGGAGAGAAAAGACAAGACGAGGCATGCTTTGGCTGGGTACCCTCAGCCCGCGCCTAATGGCGGCCTTATGCTGCTCCTGCTTGGCGTAGATCTCCGCCAGCAGGCGCAGGGCCTTGCCTTCCCCGCTGGCATTGCCCTCCTGCGCAGCTTGAAACAGAGTGAATTCAAAAGTTAGTAAAGATTAACTCACAAGATAATGCTTTTGAGTTTGAGGTTCCATGGGCCTTCCATTCCAGGAATTTGCTTCTGATTTAATTCTTGGCCCTTGCATTTAGGACCTTGGGATTAACTCTGGAGGTAATCCCCTGGGTGGCTGGAACCCTCATTCCTGATTTATCTCTTTTCTGTTGCATTTCCAGGAATTAACTTTTCCATTGTATTTGCGACCTTGTGGTGAGCTCCTCACCCTCATCATCATCCTCCTCATCATCATCCTCATCCTCATCTTCATCATCATCATCATCATCCTCACCCTCATCCTCATTATCATCATCACCCTCACCATCATCCTCATCATCCTCATCATCATTCTCATCATCATAACAACATCTAATAACCATCATCATCATGATCCTCACCATCATCCTCATCATCCACATCATCATTCTGATCATCAACATCATCCTCACCCCCACCATCAGCCTCATCATCCTCATCATCATCATCACCCTTACCATCCTCATCATCCTCATCATGATCCTCATCATCATCCTCATCATCATCATCATCATCGTAATCCTCATCATCATCATCCTCATCAACATCATCCTCATCCTCATCATCATCATCCTCATCATCCTCACCCTCATCCTCATCATCCTCATCACCATCATCCTCATCATCCTCACCATTTTGCTCATCATCATTCTCATCACCATCATCAAAATCCTCATCATCATCCTCATCATCATCATCCTCACCCTCATCATCATCATCATCCTCATGATCCTCACCCTCATCCTCATCATCCTCATCATCATCATCATCATCATCGTAATCCTCATCATCATCATCATCCTCATCATCATCATCCTCACCATCATGCTCATGATCCACATCATCATCATCATCCTCATTCTCATCATCATCATCATCATCAAAATCCTCGTCATCATCATCATCCTCACCCTCATCATCCCCATCCTCATTATCCTCACCCTCATCATCATCATCCTCATCATCCCACCCTCATCCTCATCATCATCCTCATCATCCTCATCACCATCATCATCATCATCACTGTAATCCTCCTCCTCCTCATCATCATCATCCTCACCCTCACCATCAGCCTCATCATCCTCATCATCCTCATCATCATCATCATCATCATCCTTACCATCCCCATCATCCTCATCATGATCCTCATCATCATCCTCATCATCATCATCATCATCATCATCATCGTAATCCTCATAATCATCATCATCATCATCATCCTCATCCTCATCATGATCCTCATCATCATCATCATCGTAATCCTCCTCATCATCATCATGCTCATCCTCATCAGCATCATCATCATCATCCTCACGCTCATCCTCATCATCCTCATCATCCCTAGAACATACCTCACGTTTGCTACATGGGGCAGAAGCTGGCTCAAACCGATGATGGTGAGGATGATGATGATGATGATGATGATGATGATGAGGATGATGATGATGATGAGGATGATGATGAGGACGATGATGATGATGAGGATTACGATGATGATGATGATGATGGTGAGGATGATGATGATGAGGATGACGATGAGGATGAGGATGATGGTGAGAATGATGATGAGGATGATGATGATGGTGAGAATGATGATGAGGATGAGGATGATGATGATGGATTCTTGTATCTTATGGTTCTTGATGTTTGCGGCCACACTAGGCGGCAAGGAAGGTGCCGGATCTGGGTCGAATGTTGTCGCAACAACCGAATCCGGGTCGACCATTGACGAGGGTCCCAGAAAAGAATTAAATTCAGGGTTAATTTTTTTCCAGGCGTTGTTTGCACAAAGAGTCTGGGGTTCTTTTGGTTTGAGCCAGTTTCTGCCCCACGTAGCAAAGGTGAGGTGGGTTCTAGGGATTCTTGTATCCTGTGGTGTTTGATGTTTGCGGACGCAACAGGCGGCAGGGACGGTGCCGGATCTGGGTCGAATTTGTCGCAACAACCGAATCTGGGTGGACTATTGATGAGGATTCAGAGTTAATTCTTTTCCAGGCGTTGTTTGCACAAAGAGTGGGGTTCTCTGGTTTTGAGCCAGTTTCTGCCCCATGTAGCAAAAGTGAGGTAGGTTCTAGGGATCCTTGTATCTTATGAAGGACGGTGTGGGATCTGGGTCGCATTTTGTCGCAACAACCCGAATCTGGGTCTCGAAAATAAATAAATTCAGAGTTAACTCTTTTCCAGGCGTTGTTTGTGCAAAGAGTCTGCAGTTCTTTCGTTTTGAGCGACCATGTAGCAAACGTGAAGTGGGTTCTAAGTCTAGGGATCTTTGTTTCACTCTCTTCCTGTGCAGCTTTGGGTCCTTTTGGTTGGCTAGCTGGCTGGCTGGTTGGTTGGTCGGCTTCCTTTCCTTTGGTTTCCTTTGGTTTTCTTTGGTTTGGTTGCGCAATTTGGATTAAAAGAACCAAATCCTACTCTTTCGAAGGAGCACCAAAAGCAAGTGAGTGAAACAATGGATTTAGAAATGGGCGTGCTTGTTTCTTGCTCTCAGACTTCGGAACTAAGGGAATGAGCCTATCCAAAACCAGTACCCTTCAACTGCCGAGGTTTTGATTGTGGCCCAAATCGAAAATAAATCACCACGTCACTGGTGGGTTCCAAGAAAACTGCCCACGTTCGAAGGCCTCACAACCTAAGCGCATAATTTCACTGATCCTATGGACAAGTCATCCAGACTCCCGCTCCTCGCTGAGGATGAGCTGCGCTTTCACTGCCAGGCCACGCGCCTCGTCCAAATCCTGCCCAGGGGCATGCGTGCTGCGTATAGCGGGCGGTGGTTGCATCTCCCATAATAAAACGCTTGGTGCGGCGCTTGAAGGTTCGCGGGGGCCATGTTAGGTTACCTTAGAATTACGCGAAAGAGCCGAGGAGGGCTGCGCAGCAAGCGCAATCCCCTCAAATGGTTCGTGGGCCACATCAAAATTCGCACGGCCCGTTGACACGTACGATCTCCGCGCAGGGTTTTGACTAAAGTTTTGAACCCGCATGTTTTGGGCCGTGAAACAACCCCCCCCACCCCCCAAGAAGGGATACCCTCGAAGCAGATACGCCCTCTGATTGGCAGGCAGCCCAGCTTGTCCTCCTGCAGCACATGCAGCGACCCCGCCGCCAGCAAGGCATCTGCCTCTCCCTCCACATCGCCTCAGCGACGCTTTGCGGCGCTTGCGCGGGTACCCTCCCACTGGCCTCATCCTTTTCCTACCTTCAAGCGCCTCCCGGTTTGCCTGCGGCATGCTATCAGTAGATTGCAAGCGGGCACAGCCACCCAAGCGCTACGCAGAAACCTTCTGCGTCAAAGCAAAGCGGCTGGGGAAGACAAGGGTTCTCCACGTGGACTTTACCGAGTATTGAGTATTGGTTGCTTCCGCCGGGTGGAAAGTTTTGACTAAGCTTCCTAATTGTTAAGGAGCCCCACAGCTTAGAGGGTTCCTTCCAGTGTTCGAATTAGCGTCTTCTTGAGGTTGCTGTTTAGCGGGAAACCGTACGGAAATCATTCCTTCAGGGTTCCTTCCAGCGTCTTTGGCTCCGTTGAGACAACTACAGAACGATTGGCCCGAAAACTACACAATGAGCCGGAGAATCCGGGACATCGCTCTGCGCAAGCGCAGCTTTGCAAGTCGACTGCGGAGTGATGAGCTGCAAAACGTTGCTACGCTGTGTCAGGCAAGCAATTTTCTCTCCGCAGGTAGGTCTTCTCGCCAGGCGCTGGAAGAGATCGACGTGCAGACTTGCGAAGTGCGCTGACAGTGCCGCAGCAACGAACTTGCGCGAAGCACCTCGCGCAGAGCGCTGGAAAAGAGCGAGCGCTCTGCTCAAGTTAGTGCGCGCAAGTCTGCACGTCGCTCTCCGACAGCGCTTCGCGCAAGTCTCTTTCTGCAAGTTGCGATTTTGCGCGGGAATGCGCTTCACGTGCTACTTTCGTACGGAAAAATTGGTGATTTTCCAGCCGGAGCTGCAGGCGCGTTCTACTTTGGCACTTCAAGCTTGCATTTGCTACTTTTGTACTTCAAACCTGCTTTTCCCGCGCGTCACAAGGGCAGTTACGCAAACCACGCGGCCGCTGGACCCGCTCGCACGTAGCAGATTCGGCCTGCGCGTGGCAAAATCGTAAAGTAAAAAGTCCGCAGTGTTTTTTGCAATGTTTTGCGTCGGAAAAGTCCTGCTTTTGATGGTTAAACGTCCTCAGTTTCTTGAGATCACCACGCCGATGCGCGCAGAGGGCCGCCCGCGCGTGTCAAAAAAATCAAATATCGAATTTCGGCGTCGACCCGACCACACCGGTCCTCACAGAGTTGGTCCGCGCAGGGCAAAAACGTACAAGATCTGCGCATGGCAAAATCGTGAGAAGTTCGGCCGCGCCGATCTCTGCGGAGGCGCGGGCACCGCAGAAATCGCAACAAGTCCTGTTGTTGCGCATCAACCATGCTGATCCTCGCAGAGGGCCAAAATTTAACTATCTTTGCCGAGCTCGCGCGTGTAGAATCCTCTGGTCACGAGACTGCCGTGCCCAGACTTTACCCAGACTCAGAGCCATCTGCACAAGTTGCTCTGCGCAAAGAAGCTCCGTGCTCTGTGCAGATGGCTCTGCGCAACTGAGTCTGCACAAACGGCTCTGGGCACGTTGTTCTGTAAAATTGGCTGTGTGCAAGTGGCTCTGCACAAGCAGCGCTGCCATGTTTGCCCCTTGACCCCAGATTCGCTTTCAGCTGGCGCAGCCTTCCCCGCCTCTCTCGGCAAAGTGCTCCTGCATCTCGCGGCAGATGTCCATGGCTTGGAAGACCTCTTGCTTCTCCAGATGTGCCTCCAATTGGTACCCCGTTGGAGCGTCTTGTGAAAGGGCTAAACCACCAACCTGCCAATGACTGGACCCATTGCAAAAGTTTACCATGATTAAAGTCACCCTCACAAGCGGCATGTCAAAGCAAAGCAACCCCAGATTCTGACAAAGTAATGATCCTGGTCCAGGCTCCGGTTTTTCAACGGAGAAAAATGACTCTCATTCACTTACCCCATTCCACTCCACTCCCCCACTCCCGCAACCACCCCCAGTACACACCACTCCACTCAACTCCAACTCCAACTCCACTCCAACTCCAACCTCCAACTCCAACTCCAACTCCAACTCCAACTCCAACTCAACTCCAATTTCAACTCCAACTCCAACTCCAACTCCAACTCCACTCCACTCCCTTCCAACTCCTCTCTCTCTAACTGTCTACTAGGACCTTTCCGCCCACAACGCGCTAGTTTCGAAATTTTGTGAAGATATTGGAAAAACACCTGGTCAGAATTGTACGCGGTTCAAGCTTCTCTCTCTATCTTGCGCTATCTTGTCATAGCTGGTCTGGGACAAAGCCCACTACCCTCAAAGGGGGGTTCGCGTGACCATTTTGAGGGTGTACGCCGCGTACGCCCCTGACTCTGGCCTGCGCAATCGTCATCATAAGATCCGACTTTTGCTTGGTGGCGCCAGACTTCTTGACCAGCTCCAAAATATTCTGACCTGCAACTCCAGCGCCCTGTATTTCACGGGACAGTTCAGTTTTGCCCTACTGGTGGCAGGTGATGCAGGAGTGCTACAAGAAGAAAAAAAAACAACAGGTCGGCCAATCTCTGGCACACCTCCGACAGCATTGCAGCCACCTACCCCAAGCAAACTCGTGAAAAGTAGCGGGTGTGGAAAACTTGAATAGTTGCAAGTTGTCCTCTTGGCTCCTTTTAGAGCTTTTGAAACTTGAACAAACCTTTTTGTCTATACAGTCTATACAGCACCAGGGCAGGAATGTGGGCGGCTCAGGTCGCGCGCCCTGCCTTCCTTCAGGGCCTCCTCTGACAAGCCCTGCTTCAAGTAGAGCCCCGCAATCAGCGAGGAGGTGTTTGCCTCGGAGGCCTCAGAGAGGATTTGGCCAAAAAATTGGCCACCCACCCGAAAAAGGGTTCCTGTAGAGTGCCCCGCTGGTTTCTTAGAGCAGCTTCATGCACAACTGGTTTCCTCTTGGCTTCCCTTCCGACTACCAAGCAAAAGGGAGGTCCACCTCTTAGAACGCCTTCTGCAACATGGCTTTGCCGCACATTTCAGGCCTAGCGGCCACGTCGCCGATGGCCTTGAAAGCACTTCGAGCCTTCTCGGCTGCCTACAAGGTTGGGCCAACCATGGCCTGTTTAAGCCATTCTTAGGCCAGGTTTGCTTGAACATCCTCATGCGGGAGTTTCTCAAAATGGTGAACCCTCTCTTTGTGTTTGAAGGGGGGCAAAAGTGAACCACCAATTTTTAGGCCCTCCTGCTGTGGGGCAATGCCCATCTAGGTTACCCTCAGAACGAGTCCATAGTCTAGTTGTTTAAACAGATTTCACTCAACGGCTGCCTCCAAGGCCTTGTCGAACTCGCCCTTCTCGCAGTGAGCCCTAAGTAACATGTCCATCGCAGCCGCCTCAGCATGGCAACGCGAGTATGGACCCGTGGGAGGGAAGAAAGCTTAAAGGGGCATCATCTCTGGAAGCCCAGAACGGCATCACCAAACCAAGTTGGCAGCTTCAGAACGGCAACCTCGCTTCTCCGAAAAACTTTGCAGAACCCTTCGCAGAACTTGCCCGCAATCAACTCGAGTAAGAGTGCTTCGCAGAACCGCGCAGCAGTGCGCGGAAGCGAACAAAAGTTCGCAGAACCTGTTTGCTGGGAGCACAGTCAGCTGTCCCCCGTCTATTTTCCTGAACACCGTCAACTGTCCCTTTCTATTTTTCTGAATGGATCCTTCTGAAACCTTCCCAGCAACATGATGTCGAAACTCCGCCCAGAACACCCCTATACCAAATGCTTCGCCCCAGCACTTCTGAGAGCGTAAGTTTGAAAAACGCGGTCCAATGTGACTCCAGTCGTGCGCTGCACTGGGGTGAGTTGCGTCGCCTTAAAACATCATGATATGTTTGAAGCTGTGGCTTGTGTTTGGTTCCAGGTGATGTCTGGTCTTGCGTTGCGTTCCTGGAAACATTGTCGCGGAAACTGCGCCCGAAGAAAGCGCGAGTGGAACACTTAAGCACCGCCGAGTATCATTCGCAGTTTGGGGCGTATGTTACAATTTCAGGCGGCTCAGAAAACATCTCGTTTGACAGGGGCGCCACGCCCTTTCGAACTGTTTCCCCATCTTTGTTTACGGTCGGCCTCCCCAACCCCTCCCCCCCCCACTCTCCACAGCACCTCAGCAGACTGATTGTTGCTCTGCTGGAAGCGCTTCAAGGACTCTTGAACCGCCTTTGTGCCCGTCTTGTCGCCGCGGCCCTCATGCGCCTGCAAGGAATCGGCGTGCAACAGCACGCAGGTTTGTAACGAGGCAGCTTTCTGCCAAGCAAGTATGTTGAACCTTTGCCTGAATCCACTTTAGTCGGAATCCAGATTGAGTTTGGGTGAAACTGTTGGCATTTACCTGCCAGGTTCCAAGTCCGGGGTCGACAGCAGCTGAGACCCCTTTTTTTCCAACCGCAGCAATCCACCCGCTCTTTCCACTACAAAATCGCAATGGTGCATCTAACCGACCAAAACAAGGTCTGAATCCCATTTGCCGGCTGAGGGCTGAGGCCAGCCTGCGACAGCAGCTGCAGAGCCCTCAACTCCTGGGGTGCGCTGGGCCTCGGCGCTCGCCGCAGGATGTCCAGTGCGTCCTGCGAGCGTGCAGGGCGGCTGGATCCCTCAATCACCGTGATCCAAAGCCCTCAAAAAGTTCAAATCCCAGGATCCAGCCAAACAACAGGAGGTGAACAGAAAGAAAAATGAAAGAAAGAGGGCAAACTGCAAGAAAGGCAGCTTCCTGGCGAACATGTGAGACGTGTCGTCCGATGGGAGCCACTCGGTAAGGGACATGGAAACATGAATGAGAGGCCTCCATATCCGTCCGCGCGGATGATAGCTGACCGAACCATACAACATGTCCTCGGCATGGGAAATGGCCAGCTGCCAGCGCGAGTAGTTGATGAACCACTGGGCCATGCAGCACAGCTCGAAGGCCTCCGCGTAAGGATCCTGCAGCATCCAAAACGCTAGAAGCGAACCTGGCACTGAAGCCCAGCTGGCCAGTCACCCGAAAGGTGGTAAAAGGGAACCCTTTTGGGGATTGATCATGTCTAGAGGGAAACCCGGCCACCGAGCAATTTGTCCGGGCCTTTCCGACTTATCCCATGCAATCGGCCTTGCAGCGGAACATGCCCTCCACACTTGGAAGTCACTGGCGAAAATTGGCAATGATGCCTGGTGCGCATAATGCACTGCCATGTCAGCGCAACAAAGGGAAACAGGCAAATCATTGAGTCCTGCACGCCATCCCGTGGGAACATAACATGCCCATGCAGCCAGGTCTCCACCTGCTGCTAGCGTACAGTCTTCCATTACCACCCAACGCAGCATGTGTGGCCACACGGCGTAGTGAGCGGGGCAAGCTCTGGCTCCGCGAAACACACACACACACTTATCTCGAGAGGCTTCACTAGCCGAGATGAAAACCGCAGTCAGTAAAAATGCTTGAATGCAAATGCAGAGCAACAGGTCACAGCATCGACACCGAACAGGAAGCAACAGCGACAAACAGAAACCGCAAAAGGAATCAGGAAAGAGAGATTGCAGGTACGTCCAGAAGGCGTCCCTTCCGGATTTCACGACCAAGCCATCACTGTCTTCGTTGGGCAGTGAGTGATGGCGGTCCACTGCCCCCCTGCTGCTTAAAGTTTTTGCGTCCGTGCTCCAGGACGGTTCACACACACACAAGGCCCCGGGTGGGGCGAGCTCACTTATGCAAGGCCCATTGAGTCTTGCAATCTTCGACTGTGCGGGAAAGTCTCGTGGCGATGACAGACCATGCATGCTTGGCCTTGGTATTGATCTTAAGCGAACGGAGGAGATCAATCTCCCCCTCAGTCCAAGGTTGCGGGGCTTCGGGATCAGCCTCAGTAGCGGAATCAGTCCTGGTCGATGGGGTAGCTTCGCGTTGTCCATGGGTAGGTTTGGATGCCCATAGAGCGTGAGGAGGGGCCCCCCTGGGGCCCCCCGGGGCCCCCCGCAACCAGCTCGTTTTTTGTCAGGAGAAGACGGTGGAGTGGGTGGAGCCCAATGATCAGGAAATTGTTCATCAGGATCAGCGAGAAGTTGTTCGCTATGATCTTCAGGAAGTTGTTCATTAAGATCATCGGGGGGGCCAGGAAAGGTGTTGGTGGTGAATTGGTCAGGTCCTCTACGGTGAGATTGAGTGAAGCTTCCGGTGCAAAATCCGGACCCTCAGTGAACTCGCGAATGGTGGCGATGCCTTGCTGGGCAATGCCGAGGATGAGTTCAAAGTCTTGAAGCAGCTGGCGTGCTGTGTCAAGATCCATGACCGCAAAAGGTTTTATGTCAAACAGCTGCGGTGTGAAAACAGGTCACGTGGGAATCTGCCGGTAAGCAAAGACTGAAACAGTGGGTGCAATCTCAAATAGTGGCAAAGAAAGGCCGGTGCGTTTTTTCTTTCTGCAAGGTAAAACCGTGTTGGTGGTACAACTTCTTCAACACTGTGAGATCGTGATCTCGCTGAAACTCAGGAAAGGAAACCCTGCTGATCAGCGTGCGTCTGGAGTAATATCCAGATTCCTTGTGCATCATTGGTGCGGCCGACTTGATGGAGAGCATGTTGTGCTTCTCATACGAGGGGATGAAGGAGACGGTGCCGCGCTCAAGGTCTAGTCGAAAACCCAAGAAATCCAGGGCGGCTTCTGTTTAAAAAAGGATGTCTCCTCCGTAGAAGTGTTCGTCACAAAAGATGTGGGCTGCCGGAGTCGAAAGCCATCTAGGGGTTGCGACCACGAGCCTGTTGTCCACATAGCGGAGCAGGAGGGTGTCCTCAAAGGAGCGAGGTCCCGAAGTAGGATGGGTGTTGGCCCAAATTTGCTCGGCGACCGCAATTACCATCAGGCATAAAGCAGGAGATGCGGGGGATCCCATCGGGGCCCCGCGTGTTTGCCTGAAGGAACGGAAGCCGACAGAAAAGATCTGCATGTCAAGGGTAGCTTGAATGATTTCGGGGATGTCGTCAAGCCACAGAGTGCGTTGTGCTGGCTTGTGTCGGCGACGGCGTCCGTTGTAGACGCGGGTGGTGGAAGAGGTGTCAAGTGTGTCCACTGTGAGGTGTGTGGTGGTGGAATGTGGTTGCCGCTGTCGGTACCAAGTCAAAAGTAGACGCCAGGCTGCTAAGAAGCGGTCTTTGTCAATGGAAGTGAAGAAACCAGAAAGGTCCTGGTTTCGACAGTCCAGAGGAGTGTGGCCGAGGCGGAGAAACTCATGCAAAGACCGCATGAGATCGAAGAGGTCGCCGCCCGAAAATGCGTCTGGGCAAGCCGTGGCAACCATGCTGTGGAGCAGTTTGGCGAGAGCGTCAAGCATGGGTCGGAAAAAGGCGCCAACGAAGCTGATGATGGGTCGAGCAGTGGTCCAGTTCTTCTTCCTCTTGGGGAGGATGTAGGCAGTCGCTGGCCGTCCGAAGCCGGTCACGGCCCATGGATAGCGACCGCGGAATCTGCTGACGATGCTTTCTCGTTGCCGCAATGGAGGGGACTCGCAAGGGAGCAAAGATGGCAGGATCCGTGAATGTGGCGTCCAGCATCTTGCCGTACACAGCGGGGCAATAGAGCATGAGTCGGGAGTCCGCATGATCTTCGCAATGGCGGACAAGGGGCTCCAGAGTTGTTAGAGCCTGTTGAACATGAGCGTGTAGAAAGTACTGTTGTGTGTGAGGAAGGTGGAGGTCGAAATGGAAATCGACAATAGTGGAAAGGGTTGATGGATTCAGCGAGGGCAGGTTGTTGGCCCTGGCCCAGTGGTGAAACGCCTGGGTCAGACGATTCATCAAGACCCCGCGTGGAGGAAAGAAGGAGTTGCGCATCGAACCAGAAAGCATGCTGACTGTGTCGGGGTCGAACAACTCATGAGTGTCGGAGCCAGAAAAAAGAAGGTGTCCCTCATGCTTCGGGAGGGATGGGTGTCGCTTGGCGAGATCGGTACACGTGCAGGACAGCTCGCCGAGACTCCAGGTTTGAGCTGCCTGGAGGTGTGAGAACAAGGCACTGGATAGTTTCCGGTGTGCCTTGAAAACGATGCGTGGTTGCGCCACATGAAAGGGCAGAGCACTGCGGGTGGTGGATCTGACAAACCCGCGGAGCTGGGTCAAAAGCAAAGTCCGAAAGGAGCAATGTGCAAAGAAGGGTGCGAGCATCGGCCTGGAGGGGCTGGGTGGAATTAGGCCCCGGAAGCGCAGGCTAGATCGAATGGCAGAGATGCATGCCTGGTGGTGTGGTTCAGGTAAGTGTGTAGCGATGCGATGAAGGATGTATAGGGCAGCGTGTGGGAAGTCTCTGCTCCGTATGTAACGGATGGCATCAAATCGTCGTAGGGTGTTGCTGCCAAGATCGCCCAACAGTCGCCACAAGTCCAGGCGGTCGCTCATGCGCTTGGCCAGGAAAGCTTGTTGCAGAGCGATTGGTAGTCGTAGTCTGCGACGCTTTCGCCAAATGGTGGCAAAGCCCATGTGCCGGGATTGAGAAAAGTCCAATTGTCGTATGAAGCCCGCGCGTGGCCGAAAATGTCTCTCGATGAAACCAAAATTGAGAGATGGCTGCAGTTCCTGAATGTGGAACTGCTCAATGGCGAAGAGGTCTGTTTCGGGGACGGCAATGTGGATGGGCACTGAAGTGTAAAAGTGGAAAACATCGAAATGCGCCCACCATCGAACAGCCAGCTCGGCGTTGACCAAATGGTGTCGTTGAACCTGAAGTAGTTTGCGGAATCGGCTGTGATCCCGAGCCATGAGAGAGGTGCGAGTTGCACCGACATAGAAAAAGGTTTGCCATTTGGGATGGCTGGTGAATCTCAGATAAACCGCGGAAGGGACAAGCTGAAATGAGAAATCAGAAGCAGGGAATCCAGGCCGAGTCGGGCAAGCAGGGCTTTCAGTTGTGGCCAGAGCCACACGAGAGATGGCAAACGTCAAGTAGCTGAAGCTGTGCGAGTAGCCAGGAACAAAAGTGTCGTGCGGTGACGTCGTCGGTTGGGAAGAACCGGAGAGTAAAACGGAGGACAGTGAGAAATTGGCGGCAGTGGTGTTGCCAGAAATTGTGTTGCTTGGCTGCGCGTCGTTGTCGGTGTGCTGTTGAGAGTCACTGGTAGAAGTGGCTTGCAGCGGCCAGGATGCGGCCCAGGGCCGATGACCCTAGTTTGGATAGGGTTCGCACTGGTACGCCCCAGAGCACGGCGGCTCGTTCCAGTTAGCCTCCGGTGTCGGAGTCCAGTGTGGTCGCCCATTTGGCGCAGCATTTAAGGGCCTGCTTGCTTTCTTTGCTGATCTTCTGGGAAGTGAGCCATCGCTGGACTTGGGGGGCCGGGGGGTGTCGCCGTGGGTGGGGGGGGTCGGGGGAGAAGGGGAGTCGTCAGCAGTGCGAGCGGGGAGGGGGAGGGCGGGGGAAACGTCAGGTGGTGGGGTGTCAGGCGTGGTCAGCCGTGGCCGCTTCGCGCCGAAGTCCAGAAGGGAGGCCTGAGAGGGGTCAGCCGGGCGCTTGCCGGATGATGTGGGGGTAGGGGGAGGTGAAGGGGGTGGGGCTTGCTGTGCGAGTTGGCTGTGTGCGACGCAAGCTGTTGCTGGAGCTGGAGGATGGTGGAAGCTGGGTCAGTCGTAGTGGTGGGCCGTAGGGAGATGAGGAAGTCGAAGATCTTGCTGGTTAGTAGCTTCATGGCTGCTGGTTTGGTGGTCGAGGTAAGTCAAGATGTCGTTGTCGGATTTGGCTGAGTAGCCCAGCGGCGAAGACTGACTCCGGCATCGACTTTGCGACAACGATGCGTACCTCACCTCCATGGGCGAGGCGGCGTAACCACCAGCAGTTCCACTGTTCGTGCAGGAAGTTGAGGAGGGGAACGCGAGCGATGTCCTGTCCCTCAATGCCCAATTGCCGGGTGAATGTGGACGCGGGTGGTGTCGTAGTGATCGTCGTCGGGGTTGAACTCTGCTGGTGTTGGGACTGAGTGGAGGGGGCGAAGAACAGGAGGAGGTGTGGCCTTCGAGGCGGTGGAGGGAGGGGAGAAAAGGGGGCCGCGGGTGACGGGGCCGGGGGGAGGAGGGGGAAAATGGGCGCCGCCGGGAGGAGGGGGGGGAAAGCCGGTGAAAGGGGGAACGGGGGCCGAGGGGCGGTGGAGTGGAAGGCTGGAAGTGGGAAGTGGGGTGGCCGTGGGGTTGGCAGGGAGTTGGAGGTGTAGTTGGTGGTGTCCAGGTCGTAGAGGAGCATCCATAGCAAGGCCCCAACAGGGCCTTGCACGGGGTTCCGGCCGTGTGGTTGCCGTACATGTTGCCATGGTGGTTGGATGCAGCGGGTGAAGGTTGCTGTGGATAGTTTTGCCTTTGGAGCATCGGTAACAAGCCTCGAGGGGGTTGGAAAGCCATGAGAAAACACAAGGGAAAGGGACCAAGTTCGAACAGGAAGGGTCGTATGGCGAACGATCGGTCACAGAAAAGGCAACAAAGCGAACAAACCGTGCATCAGTTCTTTTCCTGGTCAAATGGAATATGGTACGGTTCGCGCCCCGCTACGCCGGGCGCTGCAGCGCGACACCTCTCAGCATGGCATACTTGGAGTGAATGCACCATTTCTTGCCTCTGCGGCATGCAAAGTGGCGCCGCACGTTGTGCTGGTCCTCGTGGCTTCCCCCGGACTCCAAGATCTTGTGCTGATTGACGGAGCGCAGTTCCCCAAAAAGCGATGGCCCCAAGCTGAGACTTTCCGATGGTGAAGTTCTGCAAAAGCTGGCCTAACGTGTCGGGATTGCAGGCTGTGGGAGTGGCCTGAGCATAGCATCCAAAGCTCGGGTAGTCATGGTTCTCAGGCCTCCATGCAGCAGGCCGGATCATGTTCTCATAGGACATGCGGCGCATTCGATCCGGGTGGTGCCGTGTACATACATGACAGCGTGATGGGAAGCTGTGCCGGATCCAGCTTCTGGGTGCCCACCAGCGACCGGCCAGTGGTCGGGGACCATGCCATGTGATTCCCGTCCCAGGAGATGGTAGAAGCTGGGGTCGAACGCTATGGGCTCATCCATGTCCATGGTTCGCAGTTCCCAGCATTCTGCGAGGAGGTCGGCATGTGAAGGTGGCAAGGCAGGGTCCAGGTTCCTCAAAATGGTCTTGGTCTGTTCCATTCTGGAGATGTCCAAGGCTGGAAGTGGGTCACTCCCCCAACTCCCTAGGTGTGGGAACTCGCATTGGGTCAGTCTTGGCTGTGTCCATGACGCTTCGCCATAGATCAAGCCACCGGTTGTCGGAGTTTGTGTTGGGCTCTGCCTCCAACGAGGTCTTCAGTATCATCCAAGGGGTGCTGGGGGGAGGGTTGGGGAGGTGCAGGGGCGGGGAGGGTGACTGCTCCAGTTGCCCGTGTTGCTGGTGCTGTGGCGGCGCTTGCCCCAGTGGCTTGTGCTGTGGCTCTGCGGTGGGTGTCCCCACGATTGGTTCCACCAGCGTGGAGAGGACCATTGAGACTTGCCGGTGTCCCATCCGGAAGTGCGCCGGGAAGTGGAACCTTGGGAGGTGTGGGTTTGCGGGGCTCGATGTGGAGCCGTGGTCCTGGGGAGTGTCGTGGGGAGGACCTGCGCCGGGGGGAGCGTGAGCGGAGGGAGATGGGGTTGCGGTGCGATCGCTTGGAGCGGTGGTGGGGTCGTGAGGGGGAATGTGACCGGCTGGAGCTGCGTGCCCGCCGGGTGGTGTGTCGCCGTGGCGACTTGTCGTGTCCACGGTGATGACTGGTGTGGGAGTGTGAGTGGCGGTGTCGTCTGTGACGGGAACGGGATCTGCGGGAGTGGGACTGGGGGTGAGTGTGCGTGGGATGTGGGTTGGTCGAGGAAGCGGCGGCAGGAGTCGTAGCAGCTGCATCGACTGCGCGTGCCGGCTGAGGCTCGGGCAATGAAGATGGCATGCTGCTCTGAGCCATGAAGGGCATCAGGGCGCCGGACGTGGAAAACGGTGCAAAGGGCGTGGTCTGTGGGTTGGTTGAAGGTACGAGGCTCATGGGCTGCATCATCTGGGGTGACAACTGCAGGGTCGGTCCACCGCTGCCAGGTGAGCCGGGCGCGGTGCCGGCGCAATGCTTTGCAGGAGCGAGTGCATCATGTCATAGAGCTGGTGTCCAGCCATCTCAAAAGGGAGAGAGAGGGTTGGAAAGGGGGTGGAAACAAAAGCGACTACGGCTTGATTCAGTCAAGACCTGGACCTTGAAAATGCTGCCTTGTCGATGCATGTCAAAGCAAGACATCGCATCACATCAAGTCAAGGTGTCACCTGATCGTGAAAGTGAATTGAACTGATCTGAGTCAGCGCAGTGCGTGAATCAATGAACTGCAAAGTCGGTGTCTGACCGGCTTGTCACTCGCGCATGAAGCTTCCGGAGCCTGATACCTTATGAGAGCTGCCTTGTTCAAAAGGCAGGCAGTGCAATGCGAATGAAGCTGCCGGAGCCTGATACCTCATGAGAGCTGCCTTGTTCAAAAGGCAGGCAGTGCAATGCGAAGGTGAACTGAACGTGAACTTTTGAACGTCATCCCCTTGCAGGGGGCTCCCGCATATGGCGAGTCCAGCCCACAGCGCCATGTCAGACAGGCCGTGGGTAAACACACATATCTCGAGAGGCTTCACTAGCCGAGATGAAAACCGCAGTCAGTAAAAATGCTTGAATGCAAATGCAGAGCAACAGGTCACAGCATCGACACCGAACAGGAAGCAACAGCGACAAACAGAAACCGCAAAAGGAATCAGGAAAGAGAGATTGCAGGTACGTCCAGAAGGCGTCCCTTCCGGATTTCACAACCAAACCATCACTGTCTTCGTTGGGCAGTGACTGATGGCGGTCCACTGCCCCCCTGCTGCTTAAAGTTTTTGCGTCCGTGCTCCAGGACGGTTCACACACACACACACACCCACGCACGCACGCACGCACGCACGCACGCACGCACGCACGCACGCACGCACGCACGAACGCAGCCACGCACCCACGCACACACGCACACACACACACACACACACACACACACACACACACACACAAACACTTCGATTGCACGTAGGACCCAGTTGCGCCCTCTGCTGCTTGATGCATTTGAAACACACTCGAGCACAATTCCCAAAGTGCGCAAATCAGACTAGCAGACCTGCTATCCATACCCTGTTGCTGATCACCCAACTGCAAAGTCTGTCGCCCCCCCTGCATCCCCAATCTTTCCCACACCCTGCCATGACTGCGGCCAACAGCGGGGAGGGACCAACAGTCCCCAAGGAATTTGGATGATTTGCTACCATCAACCAGCTAAAATTCCCAAAGGATTGAAAGGGTCCTCTTGGCATGTGTCGAATCCAGGGAAATAGGCCGCGGGGTTTCCTGAAAATCTATGGAACCTCTAAGAACCTGCCTAAAGGATGACGGAAAAGGAGAGGTCTTCGCAGGCAACCGACGCCACACTCCTTCAGCTCCAGGTAGCGGTCGAGCGCCTCGTCCGCCGCCACCATGCACGCCGTGTGCCTATTGACGATGGTCCAAGCTTTGCCCCGCGGTAGGAACGTGAATCTTCCCGCTGAGCACCACCCCAACGAGGCTGTCCAGCCCAATGTACTGTTGCTTTAAGCTTCTGAAAGGCCACGGCCAAGATTGAAGAATTCCTTTTGGTTTCCATTTAAAACCACAACCGGAAAAGTGTAGATAGTTTCCTTGTCATGGCTACAGGCTACAGCACATTTCATGGCTATGGCATAGAACTAATTCGACACAGGAAGTCCAAACCAATCTGTGTCTGTTTGTTCTGCTTTTGCTTGGGCATGAAACTGACTTCCATGCGGCTGCAGTCACTCACAAGGAACCTTGGGTAAATCACAGCCTTGACATTTTCTGCAATCTACCAAGGTTTCGAGGTTGGAGGAGCCCTCCTTTTGTGGCAACCCCTTTAGGGTCCTTTCATGGAGGGGTTCAGGAACGCCAAACAGGGCAGGGTCGTTTGCGTGGTGCCCGGCCCGATTCCAAGCTGAGGAATCGGCTGTTCCATGATGTCGTGGGCCGAGGCGATGGCGTGCAGGCACGCGGCTTCCGTGCGCACGTCCCCAAGCTCTTGGGAGATCCTCTGCGCCTCTGTGGCCAGCCTCGTTTGCGCTCCAAAGACGTCTGTTGAAAATGCACAACTTCTACGGCCCCCTCACCAGTTTCACACACATTAGAGCACCTTGCTAAACAAGCGTGTTCCACCCAGCACACACACAAATCTAAGATGGCGTCCACTACCCTAAACCACGACGGGACCCGGGAGGTTCATGGGAAATACAGGCTCTGCAGTGATTTTGGCCAGTACTAAAGATCATCGTTGAACCAAGGGGGTGGCCTGGCCTAAGCCGCGCTCTCAGCCACGTGGCGCAATGGCCTCTGCAGCTCGTTTGTCTCTGTCTTGGTTCTTACCTCAGCCAGGCTCGCCTGAAATCATTACACTAGTGAGCAGGTAGGGGGTTCACACTTGAGGAAAAAACAGCTCAGGTAATATCCCCCCCAACACGCGGTGCTGTTTTTTGTGCTCGGGCCGACCGAGGCCCAGGAAGCAAACCACCGATCCAAGCCACCAATCATAGCGCGCCGCAGGTTTTGCTTAGGATGCCGCTTTACCTGTACAAAGGTGCAGCCCGACTGGGGCCCGACGGTGCAATCGATGCCCAACCGGGGCCCGGAGAGTAAGAAGGCACAATCACCCCGATCGGGTCACACATGATCGCGTGAAGCAAAAGAACCTTTGCAGGCCGCTTACAGGATTATCCACAAGACAATCGATCCTCCAATCATCCATAGTGGCATATTGGATTCTCTCCGGAATAGATCCAGGGACCAAATCAACAACCTCTACTACCACAAAGGTACCAGTTCCCTTCTGGGATAGGTACCCCGGCAGTGGGCCTCAATTTGTGGCAGAGATCCAAGGATGGAAGCTTATTCAAGTATGGCAAAGCCACAAGGCTATACGGAGGAAACACTCAACCTATCAATGACCGCCAAGCAGCCGCCATCGTACGACGGAAAAGTCAGCTGGTTCAGGTATGAAGAACTCGTGGACGACTGGGTGACAATTACAACAGTGGAAGCATCCAAGAGAGGACCTCTGCTAAAGAGCAGACTCACCGGAGATGCATACATGTGCAAGGCAGTCCTCCAGAATGACCTTCTGCAAGATCCTGATGAGGGAGTCAACTATTTCAAGAACACGCTGAAGAAGTACTTCTTGAAAGGTGCGACCAACGTGTATCTGTACAGGCTCCTCAGTTTCTTCAACCATAGAAGGCAGAACCAAGAGTTCCTCATTTTACCTCAAAATTCGAAATCCTTCTTATGAGATTGAAGGCAGCATGGATGGACTTGATGCCAATTTTTACGGCACAGTCCCCAACATTTCGACAATCCGTGCAGGAAGCAAATGCAAGAACAATTGCTCGACATCAGCAAGCAGCCGGTGTTCGAGCACCGCCTCCAGCCCTGCTCAATGAGGATGATCCAATAGTCCTCAGACAATACATCACGGGACTACCATGAACTCTTCATCACGACAAGGACATCCATCCAAGATCCATCCATCCGACCTCGGGGAGGCAACCGAAGCAACACATTCTTCATCATCGAACAAGGTGAATACGAAGGAGAAGAAGGCTTCTGGGTTGAGGATGAAGAAGGACTTGAAGGATTTATGTCTAACAACGATGAAGAGACGTTCTGGGTCCTCGAGGAGAACGATGCGTTTCACGGGCGGAACTTCAAGTTCAAGAAGAGAAAAGGAAAAGGAAAATCAGGAAACAAAAAGGGCAGTCACCAACGACGTGGCTCCCCCTTCAGAAAAAGCGGTTCTGGCGGAAAGGCCAATATGGCCAACGAAAACTATGATCCCTACGACCAGGCATATTGGGGAAAGGCAAAGGAAAGAAGGGAAAGAAAGGAAAATCAAAATTCCAATATCCCTATGATGGAAACAAAGGTTATCCATCCTATGAGAGTGGCAAAGGAAAGAGCGGACAGGAAAAAGGAAAATCCAAGACGTTCGCAGCCACCGCAGAGAAGACGGAGGAGCAGCCCGCCATCCAGCAGACTGCACCATCCATAGAGCCTACCTATGCCGGTTGGACAGACCAAGACTGGGATCAATCATGGACATGGAGCGAACATGGCTGGCACTGATCCCATGAGACATCCAGCACAGGACAAGCGTTAATGGCATTCCATGATGCATATGAGCATCCTGAGAAAAAGGCCATCCACGGGAAGCTGATCCAATCAGATACAGTTTCAGAACACAATCTGTCCGTAACAACAAACACAGCCTTCTGGCAACAAAGCTGACGGCGCCTGTCATCAACCCTCAGCACAACCCGACCTATGCGATTCTGGACAATGGATGTACCAGATCTATGGGCAGCTGGCACGCAATCCAGCGTTTTACTCAGGCCATTGAACCAATGAAGGACATCATCTCCTATCAGTACATCCCGGCCGAGACCAAGTTCACTTTTGCAAACGGAGAGACCGCCAGGGTAAATTGGACCCTGCATCTTCGATGTCACACAACTCCTCCGTGCAGTACCAACATCGACGTCCTTGAACAAGGAACTGTACCGATCCTCCTCAGCATCAGTCGGATGCGGAACCTCTACATGACCATCGAGCACACACCGCAATGTGACAAGATCACATGCAAGGCCTTTGGCATGAACCGTCAAGCAGTTCCAGTATCCGGTACAGGACACGCACTCGTCGATCTCGCTGGAGTTGTCCACCTTGCGCCCCACCAGGCGCAGCAAGGAGCGCAGGAAGACCGGGTCTTGTCTCAAGTAACAGCGCTGCAGGTTTGCGACGGGCTCAGAGGCGTCGACGCCACGCACCTCCAGGGCCGGACGCCGGGCGGCCAGCTTTCCGGAACCGACCGCGCATCGTTTGCATATGTCGCAGCAAGCTCGGCGCTCCGGCAAATGGAGACAAGGGAGGACCTAGCAACTCCTAAGATCATTGGGTCTCAAAAGCAGGACCATTGGATCCTTGACAAGAAGAACAAGCAGCTCATCCGTGTGCACATCACGCCTGTTCACACCAAATGGAGCCAAGGAGTGTCCAATCAATCCTGATCACATTAGCCGAGAACGTACTACGGAAATCATTGATGCATTTGTAGGTGGAGATCCAGACATCCTAGAAGACAATTGGAGACTTACATCCCAGGCAAATAGACCGATGATTAACCTGTGGATAGGTAAGACCATTTTCACCTTCGCGGACACTTCGCTTAAGGACGAAGAAGCAGGTTCAGGATCGGCAGCAGACAGGATCATCGACAAGAGGGGCCGGTCGACCATTGAGCCAGATCCTTTCGCACGCTTGCCCTAGGCAGAATCCACAAGCGATTGTCAAATCCCGAAGAGTTGAAGAAGCTCCACCTACAGCATCATAACATGACAACAGATCAATTTCGATTTAGAACCCGCGCACTTCATGTGCCGAAATCTACATTCGATATATTTGACAAAATCCGAAGTGAGTGTGAAGTTTGCCAAGCGGCAAAACATGCACCATCACGAAGCAAAACAAGTGGGCTTCGAGCGGACACCTTTGGTGACATGACATTCATTGATCACTGTCAAGTTCCTCTTGGAACGGGAGAACACATCATTGTCTTTGTCATCCTGGATGGAGCAACAACATTGCTCACTGCAGAGGCCGAGAACATCACCGTCCTCAGGAACTATTTTGACCAGTACCACCTGCAGCCCAAATCAGTTGTCGCAGATCAAGCCTTCATGACAGATACATGGGAACATTTCTATCAGTCCCTCGACATCACACCGATATCCTTGGGACCGAATACACCATGGCCAAATCAAGCTGAAGCAGCAGTTCATCATGCTAAGTTCCATCAAGGCAGGTACAGCACCTGCAACACTCAAGAAAGTGATATACAGGCAGCTAGTGAAGGCCGCTGCAACTGTCAGGAATCAGACCGTCACCTACGGGGGTGTAACACCATTGGAGCTCGCATTCGGGAGACGACCAGCAGATCTCATCCAACTCGATGTCGCAACACCAACTCAGTTGACAATTGACAGGAATGAACAAGAGCTGACAGCCATCCAGATCAAGCAGCTGTCCAAGCAAGCCTTCCAAGAAGCGCGTCAATCCGAAGACATCCGCTCAAAATCTCCGAATGAGTTCTAAGCCAGGAAGACAAATCCAAGATCCGTTCCGATGGAAGCAGATATGGCTAAAGGGAAAGGTCATTTCCATTGAAGGAGCAATGATAGGACTTGATCTTGGGACTCGACTCATCAAGGTCAACATGACGAAGGTCAGAAAGGATGAAACCATCCCTTCGGGGAAACCTGGAATTGATCTTCTGTTACCAGAAGAGCGAGAATCCTTGCAGAAGGAGCAAACCGGCTCCTCTGCTGACGCCAAGAAAAAGGAATCATCCGCACCAGCTCCAAAGCCAAGATCCTCAGTGCCAGTACGCATCGCGGGAAAAACAACTCCCAAACCTGCAGAACCTCATCCGGCAGAGAACATGTTCGTCGAGGACCTCACATGCGTTCCTGAACAAGCACATTGGAATTGTGTACGTGAGGGAAAGATCCACGTTCTCGAGATCTTTGCAGGAAGTGCCAGATTCAGTCAATGCTGTGCACTATCAGGTCTTAAGGTTGGGACTCCCGCAGAGATCCGCACCGGATTCGACGTAATGACATCCAAGGGACGACACGTGGTCATGGAGATCGTCAGGGAACAAGCACCTGATGTCATCCTAATGGCACCGGTCTGTGGACCATGGTCAAATATGCAGAACATCAAACAAGACCAACAAAAAGTCGGGGAAAAGCGGAGACGCTACCTTCCCATGGTTGAATTTGTGGCATCCATTGCGCGATATCAGTTGAAGCACAGAAGATACTTCATCATCGAAAATCCTCAGACATCCAGGATATGGTATCTGAAACGCATGCAACAACTGCTTTCAGATCCATCCGTGACATGAGGAGATTTCCATCTCTGTGCATATGGACTTAACGATCCTGAATACGGGCTCAGAAGTCTCAAGCCCACGAGCTTGATGCACTGCTTACCTCCCGAGGTGATGAGACCGATCTTCCGAAGGTGTAAAAGTTTGTCCAGCTCAGTCAAACATGAACATCAACCCCTCGAGGGAAACGCTGGTACTTTCGGAAGCAGGACCAAACTAGCACAGGTGTATCCTTACCAGTTCTGTCAGGATCTAGCGCATATCCTCCTGGGACACTTGCAGGTGAAACCACTTGACAACGAGGTGTACCTCTTGGAGGACCTTTTTGAACCATTCACCATCAAGCAGGTTGACATCCTGAGAAAGGAGATGGAACAGCAGTCTTGCAGTCAGAATCCAAGACCTGCCGTTCAACAAAGACGTT